ACGAGTGGTAAAAACATCATTCTACTGTCATAATATCTATTATGAATTCTTGTTTAAAGTATGCACTCAAAAATAAACTGGACATTAATAACAAAGCAATGAATTAGAATATTTAACAATTCAGATGTATGCAAGATTATGAAAAGTGTCTGTTTACTGAGGGAAAAGAACGAATGTTAAGGACCACGTGGTCTAAGGTTGCGCATGCACCTTTAATCAAGCAATTTAATCCAGGTAGCACACACTTAAAACTCATTAACACACACTTCACCTAGTTTTTATACGAGTTGATTTACTTACTGATCTTAGGAATGCTTCTACAGAAAAAAAAAACCTACATTGAAGTTTGAAATCTCTATATTTCAGACGTCCTATATCAAGTTTCTCACCTTGTAATGTCATACACTAGTAACGCCCCTGCTGCCCCTCTGTAGTATGACCTTGTGATGGAACGGAAGGACTCTTGCCCTGCCTGTAGGAAAACAAAGTTATTTCATTTATTGAAATTATTCTTTTTGAAGAAACATGAAAACTTACTACTTGTATAAAGGTTGTTTGGAGGTAAAGGGGACTGAAGAAAGGAAATCTCACTACTTCTGGCAAAAGAGGGCACATAAGATGACTACAGCATAGTGCCATTAAAAAAAAAAGATCAGGAACAAGACCTCTAAACCTTTTTTGGCAATCCCTGACAACCCAATTTACTGAATGGCTTCACAATACATGAATCATTATTAGAGCACAGAATGGACTCCTAGCAACTAAGCTCTGAAGACAAATTTGAAAGGAAGCAAATAACCCAGAGCTTCACATTTGAATTCAATAACCCGCTCCCTGGGGCAGCTGTTGACACTAGAATAAATAAAGCCCATTGTAAATAAATGATGAATGACATCTTTACGCCCACCATCTGCTGGTGTAAAGGTTGTTGGAAGGCCAAGGATGAAGATTTTATCCGTTATATCATAAACTGCAGCCAGCTTTCAACAGTCTTCAAATGGAATTCTTTCAGTAATCATTTTATTATGAAAAACAGAAAATGGTTCTGAATTCAATTTTATATAATTCTGCTCTACAGTGAATCAATTTCCTCTGTACTTGATGTATGCTTCTTGTCAAATGGCAACAGGATATAAAAGTCATCTTCATACCCACTGGTGAAACAAACTCCACAGATCCTGTATACGTAGGCCATTTCTTTTTTGTTGGAAAAAACAAAATCTGTTAAAAATATCTCAGCAAGGATGTGTTCCACTGATTCATGTTCACAGTCACATCAAAAGACACATCAGTTTGTTCTTTCCCTTTTCTTTACTCAACCCAAAATATTCCTAACTCCTTGGAAATGTTGCCATGCAGGTCTTGAAACAAAAATCTCACTATTAGTTCTACTGAAAAGTATCCATTTCTGCATTTATAACAGTGCAGAACAACAGACCTAATGATAAGTTAATTTAGTCAAATCATACAGTGAATAAGAGCAACGTTTACATAACAAAGCAGCTCAACAGATAGAAGTACAGGCCCAACTAATATGCAGTTCTTCAAAAATATAAAGAGGCAGACCCTCACCTCTCTTTCCTCACTTCCTGGGAGAAGTGCTCACCATCATCTGACAACCATGGTACTGAGTACTAAGATACAAAACATTCATTCCAACAGAAAGCTATATACTACATGCATAATTTTTAGCAACCTCAGAAAATGCCACTTAGCAGGATCAGAAGATGCTAACACTTAGAGAGAGGATCCTCTAGGGAGACTGTTACTTGCACAGTATATAAGATTATAAAGGATTTTTAGAAATGAAACCAGAAAAAAAAATTGAAGAGGTAGTACCTAAACCAGAAAAAGGTTTCAAGCAAACCTGAATATTGTGCAGAAAATTTTGTCTCATTCTATATGAAAACAAGTTTTATTCCAAGGAAATCCTTCTTGAATCCAGGAGAAGAATTCACTAGGAGGAGTAACCTAACCCATGTCTACTTTTTCAAAGAGTAGCAGAATGATACATGCTTTGCCATATTGCATACAGTTTAAAAAAAAAAAAAAAAAAAAGCTTTATGACCTTTTGGAATAACCTACAGCATCTTAAAATTTCAAGAACCATATTATGACCTACTTAAGGTTAAAGGCATGCGTGTGCGCATGTATACACACACACAATCAATGTAAACGTTATAATTTGTAAATACTTGTTTGGCATAATGATGACACACCAGACCCTAGGTCATCTTCCGGTGCTAAATGAACCCAACACCACCTTTCAAATGTTGTAAAAAAAGTAAGAAGAAAGTTGTGTATGCTGAAGAGCAGACAGGGTTACCTATCCTTACATCTCAATGCTGAAAACTCATAACTGCACCAAAAAAAGTGTTTGCATAAGGGGTAATAATGAGTAAATAGATCTTCAATTCACTCAGAGTAAAACACAAGAAAGACATGTACTCCCAACAGAAGAGTTAGTATTGCCAGATTACTGGAGGTACTGAGCTAACATATACTAGCCTGAACAAGTTTGGGTATTTCTACAAACTACACTAAGACTCCCCATTTGTCCCAATGATAAATTCCATTGAGCTTCCTTTCACCAAAAATAGCAGACCCTTTGTCATGCCTGGGGTGACCCACAATTTGACCGGAGGCTGTATATGCATAGAATCATATATGTATGTCCCATGCATGGATTTTTAATTGAAAAAGAATTGAAGTTTTCAGTGTCCCCATGAGGAAATGTTTTTGGTTTGTTTTTTTTACCACAACTTTTGGGGTGGGGAGGGGGGAAACCATAAAAAGTCATTATTTTGCCATTTGTAGCATGTATTAAGTAAATGTACAGTCCTCATGTATTAAGTAAATGTACAGCCCACTTTGTAGCACTTGTCTGAGTGCTACTATTAGCATTTCAATCAAGCATGCCCTCAGATATACAGTCACTATTTTCCATATCGTGGCAGTATCTAAATAAAACACAATTAATGAAAGAGTTTCCATATAGGAGACCTTAAATGTAAGTTTAACATGTCATCGGCTCTCTGCTATTTTTTATTCGATTAACATCTGTCTATAAAACTAGAAAATAGGAATTATTTTTATTACAAAAATACAGAGTGTAATACTATATTGCAAATACAAATTAACAGTCAAGAGAATACATTTCAAAAGGAGATCACCATGTCAGGAAAATGCAAAGATTTATCAAATATGATCTAGATATTTTAAGAAAATAATTTTGCACGTTAACCCCTTGTTCATCTAACACACACTAAAATGTCCTGAAAATCAGGAGGGAAAAAACAAAGGGGAGGGGGTTGACATTCATAATCAGTCATAAAATAAGCTTTAAATTCTCCCAATAACCTTAAAACACATTATTTCATACCTTTATTAAAAAATCATGTTACTGCTTTGCAAGTCTGGTCTAGAGAGACCAATTAGAATTTAGCTACTCATGCTGCCAAGAGTGACATTTATTAAGGTAGCAACATGGGAGCTCAATATAAAATTAAAACTAGATTATGTTCTTATGTATGGAATAGACATAAAAAGTGGCCGCAGCAGACCTCTAACCCTTGTAAACTGAAGTATTTAGTTTCTTCATAGTATGAATTTGAGCCAACTATTTACAATGAAGTATTATCAACGTATGCCAAAAACTGTAGGAAAAAACACAGGTTGAAAGAATGATTAAAGCCTTATTTATAACCAGAATTAAATCAAACTAGTCAAATCAAGGCAAACCCTTATGCTCATGAATATGAAAACAGGCCTCACCTGTGAAACCATGAGAGCCAAAAAATATCAGTGTTAAAAATATAGCAAGCCTATAACAAAAACCAAAGGGTATGTCTACACCATCTTAGTACCATGTCAGGAAGTGCTGCAGTCATGTACACCATGCCAATGCCACACCTGATGCAGAAATAATGTAGCTACCTTAGTGCAAAAATGTACTAGTGAGTGGCCAGTACTGCACGAATGCAGCAACACTCTTCTAAGCAGCACAGTGTGCCGCACTGGGGTGCTTCTGAACCACTACTGAAGTAGCGCACACAAGATTGCACTCAGGTGGATGTCCTCTACTCACATTCTAGAAACCTGGCTTGAAGAGATCAGTCTTCAGGAATACATGGCCATAGTCATTTCAATGATAACTCAAAGACTAGCTTTTCTTTTCAGAGCCAGAACAGGTACCAGTTCTGATGTAAACAGCACGACCAACCCCAAAGCACAAAAATCCCAGGCCAGATCATTAATAAAAGAATGAAAAATTAAGTTGGGTTCAACCTGCTTCAGCTGCTGACTACCAGTTAAACTTACTGAAGTCATTATATATGAAATAATGAATATTGTTGAGACCCAAGCTTCTATAAAGCTCTCACTGTTATCTGCAGTATTAATTTTAGCTTTCTTTAGGTTATGAAGTCTATGAAGGGTCAAAAGAAGTAATTCCCTCTCTTCTCTTACCTAAAGTCATAATTTAAGTAGGGGCTTGGTTTATTTTTATTGTTGACAGACAGAGGAACAATGAATAGTAAGAATTACAGAACATCTTAACTATGAGTAAAGAATGTTTTTAAACACTAGTAGTGTTCAGTCAGTCACAGCCACAACAATAAAGGCACACACAGCTAAAAAGGTCTCTCAAGATAGTTTTGTACAGCAATGGGAAATACAGATTACATTTCTGTTGTTGACACTCCTGGTTCAGATGTTGGTCCTTGAACACAAGTTGCATGGTGGGGTACAACCTGAAATGGTAAACCTAATATTAACCTTATAGCTGTGGTTATGGTGAATGTTTGTCCAATCCAGGGGCGGGCAACTGTTTTGGGTGGAGGGTCGCTTACCGAGTTAGGGCAAGCTGCTGAGGGCTGCATGGGTAGTCCCACCCCTTGACAGGTGCCCCACCCCTTGGTTGCCATCTTGGGACTGGAAGTCCCACCCCCTACCTCCTGACCTTTGCCACCTGAAGTCCCTCCCCTTTGCCCTGGAAGTACTCCTTCAGCAAGGGGTTTTGCCATCTCAGAACCAGAAAAATACCAAATTATATTCTAAAAAGCAAACATCTACAACATTAATTAATTTGATTTAAAAAAAATCTTCTGTATAGTGTTTATAGAGGTGATCGCACAATAGCTTAAAATGAAGTCTTACTCTTGTAAACTGTGGGGGGATGGGAGGTGGGTATAGGTTTGTGGGGGGCCGTGGGTGTGTGAGTATGTGAGGGAGGGTGTGGAGGTGGATAGGTGTGGGTGAGGAAGCATGTGGATGTGTGTGGATATGGGTTTGTGGGGAGATGC